GGAAGACAAATTTTGATAACATTCCCTTCTTAAAATTGGCGGTATAATGATGGTATTACACATCTACCATAGCCATAATGTTCTACCACTTCACCTAAGCAATAAAAAAGAAAAATTATTTAGAATTCACAAAAAATCACAAATTATTCATGACATTAAAAACATAAACATAACTGTAAACAATCCTACTTTGACATAAATGCAAAAATAATTATAGTGCTGCACCCTGTTGGTAAATCTTATAGCTTTTTAATGCTTTTGTATATCATAGAACCAACTTTTTTTAGTTGAAACAGCTGACTAAATTATTTTTCCCTTTAAATATGAATACTCATAAGGCTAACATGGGGAGCTACAGAGCCTCTGGGGCGGAGCCCGAAAGGATTTTTGAGATAAGAATATGCCTATATGTTAATCGGGAATGTGAGCTATCATCATGCCAAATTTCAGCCCAATCCGTCCAGTGGCTTGTGCGTGATTGAACTTCAAACAAACAAACAAACAAACTTTCACATTTATAATATTAGTAAGATCACCTTATATAAAATAGTTTATATAATAAGTCAATTTTTAACTAAAAATGCATTCCTATCACACGATGAACCTAACATGATAGACGGATTAAAATTAATTGTGATTCTGTATATTTTTACTTTGCAGCCAAATAACTTCAAAATAAGAAACTCAGCAAAATGGTTCATCCTTGAGAATTGCACTTTTAAAAGGACGGATCAAATTGCCCAGGGAGGAAGGGAATAAAAAAAGGATAATGATATAAGAGAATGGAAATATTAGCAGAAGAAACGGCTGCTGGCCTGGGGCGGTGGCAGAATCACTCAGGGGTGTAAATAACACAAGAGGGTCGGGGCACTACTCTAAACTCAAAACGGAACTGTTTGAGATTTGATTTCTGTGTCTTTTTTTATTGGGTCTACAGCATTTACCTCCCCAATTTCATGATCTCTTGATTCCTCTCTGAAGCACCAGTTATGTCTCTGTTTGTGATTTAGTTGTCCATCAACGTTTTGTCATGGGTAATAAGTCTGAAAAAGTTTAGGTTGGGATTAACTTGCAATGTACAATTAAAACATACATTGACTTATCCTTATATAAATCCCAAAGTCCCCATGAACTTTTGAGAAAACTATAAGTCACACCCCCATAAACCATATACTTAAAATGTTCGTCATGACGAAAAACCTTTCTCAAAACTATCCACTATTTCATAAATCACCCTTTAAGGTCGTAATTCCTTTCTAAAGGGAACTTTTCATATACCTAATGTTAAATACCCCAGCTGTACTTATTTGTTAGTCATTCTTTAACTGTATTCTGTTTTGTTTACTTCAGCTTAACTTAACCAATCAATATTTTTATTAATACTTATAAAGTCAAACGGGCTGAAGCCCGAGGGTAACAGCTAGTTTTAATATTGATAGTTTAATAGCTTCATAAAGTGGTGGGAAATATTTCACCTAAACATTTTCAAACTGGTTGGAAGCAAATTTAACAAAGATTGGGTTCTTAATCGTCAAATCAACCAATAAAATCCCTCATAAATTTTGATATTTGAAAAAATCGGTTCAACAAAAGGTAACACATGGATTGAAATAATTATATTAAGATATGTTACATAACTCATATGTACGTGGTACAAAAAACGGTGGAAACTTATACTGTAACCTCACAATTACTCCCATCTCGTACTTTAAAATATCCCCATTTCAACTCGCCCATCTTATAACATCCGATTGTTGTTGCTGTCTAACAACAACAACGCAGGTTGAGGCTAAACAGGACAATGATCACGATGACTGCAGGCCGTTGAAAGCCTGTTTATTGGTTGATACAAACAAACATCTCGTTATTAACCAATAACACCATCTGTTTAAACACTACTTTTACAGCCCACTTTTATTGCCCCGCTTGTTTCTGTTATCAAGCATCTTGCCTGCTCTTGTCCGGGGTTATTGGTGTTTCTGGAATATCAGGAGTTTAAATTGGTGTGCTTGGTTTCCTTCCATATAAGTTTATTTTTTTCGGTTGAACAGTATAGTATTTGATATGTGCATTTAGTTACAACACGACGTTGTATTTATTTTATAATGTAAATAGAGATTAAATTAAATACCGATTTCTTTTGTCACGATCAATTTAAAAAATTCCAATCTGACATAACACAGGGAAATATGCTGAGTCTAGGATTAAAATATATTTCTTAGTATATCCCATTTTTTTACTGTGCATTTTTTCCTGAGCATCAGGAAAAGTGCCTGCCACAACAAAACGTTGAATACGTTAAAACAAATAAATGAGTATAATATTTTGCAATTAAAATATACTAATACAATGATAAGTATTTACTTTTTGGGTGAATATTTCCCACATGTTTGCTGACATCTTAATATATTAAAACAATTGCCAAATCAAGCCGCTTTAATGTCACACAACACCTCAGTTCGGGTTTATGAATAATATTCTGTTACTTTTACATAAATAATTTCAGAATATATTGAAATCCCCATGGCCCCCACAAGGGTGGGGCTGGTGCAACTCTGGTCACAGGGCCCGGGCCCTTAGGGGGCCCGGGCCTACCCGTTTTTTTAAATTTTTTCCCCATTGAAGATCACTTTACAGCAGATCATAAATTGAAGATAAAAAATAATATATTTTACAAAAAACAAAGTTAAATAATTTAAAATGTATTAATTCTAGATTCTAGGCTAGTTTATATTAAAATACTATAGGTGCGTAGGTGCGTATGTACTATACAACAGCAGAACAGCCAGCTCGGGCCCCAGTGGCCGGCCCCATAACCTCCCGCCAGGCGCCTAGCCACTCCTGAAATCCCTTAAGGATCACCAAATATTTCTCAATGTTCACTTAAAGAAGAAATCCTGTTCAAAACTTCAAACTTGTGATTCAAATGTGGAATAATATAGTCTGGGAGATTTTACAGCAATTTAGTCTTTTGCAGCTAAAAGACTAAATTAGAATTTACATATGTTAATTTTATAAAAGCAAATACAAATATTTGCAAATCACAAAATACGAATTCATCCCTTCAATAATTTACTTACAACATTAACAAGTATTGGTTGTACTTGGTATTGAATCCATCAATTTTCTGTCATAATGTCTGTGCCGTGAGAACACAACACTTGATTAAACTTATCAAACATCCAGAAGTAACCGCTGCCCATTGTAGTCCTATCAACGTCGAAACTAAATTATTGAGAGGGAGACACAACAGGGGCGCCCGACCACTCAAAAACCATTCGGTGTTCGTATCGGCGCTACACAGCTACTCTCGGATTTATTTTATTGCTTGAAAATCGTTTTATGTGCCCGATTACAGCCCTGAATGGCCATAACATCTTAAACCTTTTGTTCCATTCGGAGATGTACAAATCCAGCTGGAATGTTTCTGAGAGTGAAGTTTCTTGTTGAGGTCGGGGTTTATCTGCTTTAAACGACAAGCAAATTCTTATTTGAATCGCGAAATCAATGTCACAATTTCACTTGGTGGCTAATTGTTGTGGTTTTTACGTATATATGTGTTACTATGTGTCACTGCTCTTTTGGAACTTGTTTTACGGAACGGTTGAAACCATGACTCTTCATCATGCTTAAACTTAAGAATTCGTTTTTCCAAAGTTAATGAGTTTAACTGATAAACACCTATTTTAAGTCCAAGTCATAAACTGCTGACTTAAAAAATAAAAAAATAAATCCATTAAAAAACACAAATAACCAACGTAGAGATTAAATAAACAATGCACTCTTACAAAGGTTACACTATCTATTGGAAAACGCGGAATGAATTCACAAATTTTGTTAGATGTTTATAGGATCCCCCCTACCACACATCAAACCACTGTACGATTAATTGTTGATAGAGCTTGAAGTATTTTAAGATCCGTAATATTATTTGGAGTTAAACAATATATTGATTTACAAAAAAAATCACCTTTCTTCAACCTTGAATCCACGGGTTACAAACCAAAACAATAGTTTCCTGTCTTTTAAAAACTGTGTTTTACCAATTGTCGCGCCTTTTCTTTACACATAACTCATCAGCGAAGTTCACTTGTTCATTATTTTAGACAAAAAATGTGTCGCGCGACGAAGCGTGGCCAATGGCGACTATACGTGGCCAATATTGTCACCTATAATTGGGCGTGGAGACAATGGGAAGGATGTAACGGCTGTGACTATCGCCGGTCCGGTTTTGTGGCAAGAAATTATGATTTCCTCTGCCACGGATTTTGAAGTGATTTACATGGTTTGGCCAGTTGAATAGTTTTTGCTGTAGGAGTTGTAAAACAAAGATCGGAAGGAATGTTGAAGTACACGAATTTAAGCACTGTCGATGATTTTAAAACACAGGTTGCAAGGGGATTGGAAAATTTCCTACATCGAACGTACGAATTATTATTATTTTGTTTATATTTAATTTTAAAGTTTTTCCACGCCCTCTATCCAAACCAATCCATTTCTTTTCCAATCACCCGTCATGATTTCTTACAGCTTCAGCCTTTGTCAAATGAATATTCTTCATGATCTTTTCATATCATGGCTGTTTTTTCATCAGCCAAGGATTAGCCTATTCTCTACTCTACCTTCTTAAAGTTCACCTCCAAATTCCATCGATTATTATCATAATTTACTTTGAACGTTTCCCCTATTTTACTCTAGCTTTTTACTCAATTTTATTTTAGATCCGATTTCCACTTATTAGTGTATTCTGACTAGTCTTTCTTTTCCAAATACAAAGTTTTCACCCTTGGTGTTTCTTCCATTCTTCTACAATTATCTCAAAAATTTGTCTAACTAAAGTTGGTTCATCTTCCTTATAGCTTTTATTTAGACATTTCAGAAACGCCCACTCTCCATTTCTTCTTGGAGTCCTTCCTCTGCTTCCTACCTTTCCTCCTCACATTCCCAATTCTTCCCTTTGGCCCCCCGTTTAACGTCAGTAACTCTCTACCATTGCTCAGTTCCAGGCCGGGACGACCTCCCAAGAGAGCATCCATCGGTCTCAGCTTGGCGGCTTCCCACCTGTCCCATCAGCTGAAGAAACACCGCCTTGAGAACGGGGACTACCCTGGCTACGAGAACGGCCATCTTTCTGGTGAGTTGGTCTATTTATATCTAAAATTCTCTAGAATGATCAATGTTGGCAACAAAAAGCTTGTAAATGGTAACACAAGAAATGATTGGAAGGTCCAGAAAATTTGGTTGGGCTGATGATTTTAGAGTACTTAAAAGTGATAAAAGTATCACTTCGAGCTTGGTTGATAACCTCACTGATATTAAATAAGTGATGGAGAAATGGAATTTTTATGAAATCAACCTCCAGCTACATCATGAGGTATTTTTTTTGAAACACCATCAACCAATGTTCCAAACGGTCAGGTACTCTTTGGACACTTGTATGGTAGGATTGAAAAGTATCGTCTATCGCTTTATTTGCCACTGCTGAGCATCTGAGTGGTTATAATGTTCGCAAAATGAAAAGTTAAGGTCACCAAAAACATTTCGATAAAAGCAAGAAGATAATGCCAATGGTTTGAAACTGGACCTGGTTTAAGATGTTTATCTTGAACCCAGCAGAATTACCTAGATTGTTTTTTGCGAGGTAAAGAAGTGCTGGTCTTAGCCAATAAGAAAGAATAACAAGGCATCATACAAAAATACAACAATCATCATCAAATCATATTCGGGTTAAAAGTATTTGCATCATAATCCTCTTCAGCGTTATCGATCAAGCACAATTGTCTAAATATTTTCATACTTTTGACAAATTAAATCAATTCAGACGGTGCCGATCGAGGTATTTCTACACCAGGGTTTATATTCCTCGCCAAGTAGGGAAGGGAAACAAATGACGGCAAAATAAGTAGCCTGTGGATTTTTCCCATGCAGAGGACCCGCCGTTGTCACCACATCGTTTGTCAACGGCGCGTGTTCTGAATACCCCCCCCCCCCCAGGGTCGTGCCGCCCCCTCGCCCTAAGGCATTCTTATCGGAAAGTCACCAAGTTTTCAAAATACCTGCACCACCCTTTGTTGCTATAACTGCGCTTGCTATATCCGCGATCCAACGACTTGGAGATTTTCCCTTGCACGTGGCTGTGAGTTGGATTTCACAAAGATTTGAAAAGGTTAAAAGGTTTTAAGTTGGTATGTTATAATGGCTGATTTCAAACTAAACTTTTTCAAGAATGGATAACCACCGTTACTACCAAAAACCATAGGGCAAACTAATCATCGGTGAATAGTTTTGGTTGGGCAATGATTGACATTTTTTAATTTAATGTCCCTTTTATGAACGTTTTTCTTTTCATTAAAAAACCCCCTTTGACTTCAGTGAATTAAGGTCTAAATCCAAATCACAACCTATGTTATATGTAGAAGTTAGATCAAGAAAAGCAAATGGCTAAACAATTTGAAAACATCGAATAATATGTTTTGGAATCAACTTTAGAAAGTCCCAAAATCAATGGAACCAGCCATTATTGTTTTGTTGGTCATGAAACTTTATCTTAAAAACGAAAATCCCTTTACACCCCAAAAACCTCATATTATTTCACACTACCTGAAAAAGATACAGCATGTTCCTTATGTCACTTGTACTAGTAACGCACTAGATTTTAAGAAAATAATTACACTTTTAAAAATTATTTTAAAAGCATACGAAACACGATTTCACTGCTCATTTCATTCCTTTAATTTGGGAAATATCCCATTTTCGAGTATAAAATACTCAAGACACAATTGTTTTACCGATGAATTGTCTTAAGTAACATCATCATATCCACACACATATTTGAAGCAATCTTACAACCTTGTACAACCTTGTAAGATTGCTTCAAATATGTGTGTGGATATGATGATGTTACTTAAGACAATTCATCGGTAAAACAATTGTGTCTTGAGTATTTTATACTCGAAAATGGGATATTTCCCAGATTAAAGGAATGAAATGAGCAGTGAAATCGTGTTTCGTATGCTTATAAAATGATTTTTAAAAGTGTAATTATTTTCTTTGTAAGATTGCTTCAAATATGTGTGTGGATATGATGATGATTGTTGTTGTATGTTATTTACAACGACATCCGGGTAGAAAGAAAATTGTTACAACTCGGGAATTAATCCCCGAAACGGGGTATAACTCATTAGGTATTACAGGGATGGAATGGGAGAATGGTTTCGTAGTTGATTCCTAAAACACCGAGTTGAGTAGGTACTCAACCTAATGTGTTACCCCGTTTCGGGGATTAATTCCCGAGTTGTAACAATTTTCTTTCTACCCGGATGTCGTTGTAAATAACACACAGCTTAGGCCTAGTTATAAGCTCGCTCAATGTTTTTTAGTTTCCCACCTTTCCTACTATTCATTACCTTTCCCCTATCTCATTCCATCCCTGTGCATGAAATATCCCATTTCAGGGATAAAGTCCCCGCTTGTAACAGTTTTGTTTTTGATGAGTGGTCGCTGATAGCGGCCCAATCAATAGCCACTATTGACTCTGTTGACGGCCCAGACAGCTACACAGGTAGAGCATTGTTAATTCCCGCAGCGGGCGACAAGTGAGTAAACAATATGAATGGGGAAGTAAACAATTACAACTGGTGTTTACCTTGGGGGCGTGTCACCAGCACTAATGACTTTACAAGTAGTCGCTGTAAGAAGTAATGTTTGAGTGTTGGCTCTTCGTTGCTGGTAGTTGCAAGAATTAGTAAAAACAAATAGGGCACGTTATTTAATAACTCTAAGAGTAATTGTCGAATTTTTAGAATGTTGACTCATCATATAAGTGAATTGGAGAAGTGATGTTTTAAATAATGTGACAGTATAGTGTAGGGGATTTCTTTAAAATGTTCTTCAAAAGGCCACAAATCTCTGAAAATAAAATCTACGTGTTGAATTTATTATTTTACATGATAAGTTTGGAGGATTATAGTCAATTCAAACCCCTATGGAAAGCAGAATGTAATATTCACTTACTCTAAAATTAGATTGTAGATAGAAGCATTTCACAAAGGTTAAGCCAATTAAGAAGATTGTCTTGACTTGAAACCTCTCCAGTTTAATTGACTGCAGTCAATTACGTGTTAAGTGTATTGAAATTATTCCAGATTAAAATCCATACGTGTTGTAATCGTTTTAATTATGAACAAAGTATTCCCTTTTGATGAAATGAACATGGCATATAGACATTTTCCTCAAGTACTGAGTGTTAGGTTGAAATCTGCTTAGTAAAATCGCTCCTTAAAACCTTAAACATAAATTTAAAAAGATATAATAATCTTTTCTTAAATTTATATAAATTTGGAAGTAAAATCTTTGGTAAAATCCTGAAATCCGAGTTCTGTACCCATAATGGCTTTCAGTTCTGAAATGTTGGCAAAATTGCAATTTTCAATCTGCTTTTTATAATCGTCCCTAAACAAGAAAATTGTCACACCGATTTTGAGGATAAGAATCACTCGTTACTTAAATTTTGAGTAAAGTCTTAAGCTTCGGATTTTGTAGCCACGGGATGAGCTTAAAAGCTCAAAAAAATTTTTAAGCTACTTGCTTAAAATGTAGTTTTGTATGAAAGCTACGACTGCACAAAATCTGTACGGATAAGAATACTTGTCTTTACTTGATTTCTGATATATGTTAATACGTTGGTTAATACGTAGCCCTTACATATTCTTTGTAGCCATGGCTTTAATTTCCGGAATGAGTAATGTTTTTTTGCATCCAAACTATTTTCCGCAAGAACCCAAAACACAAACCTATTACTATTACATTGCTGCACTCTTTCCAACCTCCTGCGGAAAAGGTGACAGCCGCAGTACAAAGACCAACAAAGCCACCTACAGACCCAAAGAATCACAGATACGTCAGAAGGGAGGGGTAGAGCTTTGTAATCAAATTTCATCCATCCGAATTCTGTCGGCTTTGAGACGGGATCAGAACGCCATTGTCGCATAAAGGCGGCGAACAACCCTTGATGAAACATAAACTTGCATCGTTGACGTGGTGGTCAGTGCAACAGCCCTCTGTAAGGACAAACACCAAACAGTGCTGCATGTGTGTTTGTATTGAACAATGGTTAAGCCACGGCAAATACCGGCCCAGTAACAATATTATCAATACTGTACGTACAACGTAATTATAACAGTTTGCCTCGTCATAGCTCCACTATTTGTCCAAAGCGGGACAACGTCAACAATGTCAACGTTATAACGTCTCTATCAAGAAATTGTTTGGTTTATCTTGTGAAATGAAGGTGGACTATAGAGGGTTTTTTGGAGGTGTTGGATGTTAGGAAGTCAAACGGATCATCAAAAGGAGTTCAAAGCACAAATATACGGTAAAAACGACAGTTTTTCCCTAAATAAAAAAAATCTTAATTAAATTACGAAAATGAAGAAGATCAAATCAATGTTGTTCCTTTCACCAGAAGATTTTTGGAAAATGTTTTACCTGAGGTTGTAGGCCTCAAGCTGGTTTAGTTTATGTTAGTTGTAAAACCAGTTGTAAAACCATTGGGATTTTATACATTAAAAATGTTGTTATTAATCGGTTCTGACCAAAGAAGGGTTTAGTGGGGTTTTTCACAACCAATTGAAGTAGTTCAACAGTTTTATTTTAATTTCAAACATTAGTAAATTTTCTTTTGCAACATTAAATCAACTTAGCAGCAAGGCAATTCAATAGCAACTGATTCCGACCACATCCCGTGTATATTCATCAAAACCTCTGCGGTCAGCCGTTGGCCGCACGTGCTGGAAGCGGTCGACCGCACGAGACTGGCGCACAGCGGCGCCTAATATGGTTATTGTTGATCACTGTGTAAGTAAGTTATATCGTGCGGCAGTGAGTCATATGTATAGGTTTTCGTACGTATTTCTGTCTAAAACGTATGTAGAAACAGTGCGGTTGGTTGAAATATAATGTGGAACTTGTTTTTGTGACAAGGTCCAAATTTCGTAATTTATCAATGACTTTTAAATCTGCAATTGGTGGTCCGGGATCGTATGAGAAAAAGAGAAGTCTTTCAGGCTGATAGAAATAATTTTTCATCACACTGTCTCAAACCAGCTGTCTTTGAGTCCCTAAAGATAGCTTTTT